CGTACCCGCCGCATCCTGTAGCTTGCATCTGACCCTCGGAGCACTGGGCCGCTTTGAGTTGTCAGGCAGTTGATTCGACTCAATAATCAAGCCAGAGGCGGTTTGCAGGGGAGGAACAACGCGAGAGGAAGAGTCAGGTTGGAGGGGAGTGGGTTGGAGGACAGTGGGTTGGAGGGGAGTGGGCGGGAGGGGAGGTTGGAGGGGAGTGGGCGGAGGCTCGGGAGGCATGGAGGCAGGCAGATAAGAGAATGTGAGGCCTCAAGGAAAAAGGGGAGAGCGAAGAGAGAAAGCTCGTCGGACGAGATGGATGGAGCAACGCAGACGACTAACCCAAACAGGTCAACCAAAAAGCCAAACAATAATTTGAAAAACAGCATGACATTTACACCGCCGTCGAGGGCGGACGGTTTAGCCGACCCGTTACCGACACACCAGAGGGACACCGAACATAGGTGCAGTGCAGGACGGGCAGGACGATGGGGAAGATAGATGAAGGAGAAGAGCGAGCAAGATCCCTAAACAGCAACGGGGAAGTCTCATATGTGATCGTAGGCGCTTCAGGCGATATGGAAGATCGCCAACAGATCATAATGCCATGTGTTATGCCATCTAGGAACGGATCGGCGAGTGAACATGAGATATCGCATGGAGGCTGGCCCATGACGCAGGCCAAGGATATGTCATAAGTAAAGATGGGTCGGGCGATATGGCATATTGTGCCTGACATGACCCGGGCATATGGACAGTCCCGCGCGGGACAAAGCATATGACATATTAATAGTCCTATTAGTAATACTAGTCACATGATACTAGTAATAGGGTAGTTCTGGGGAATCTCTTCCCCTTATCAAAAGGAGCATTTTTACAAGACAGATAAGAAAACGAGGGCGAAATGGCTCGCCTATATCGGGTTCTCCCCGGACTGTTCGCTTTATGCGGTGATTAAGTGAACAGCACCATAAGTCGTACGGGTGGTAAAGTTGCGCAAGCTTAACCGTCTCAATCAGACTAACGCGAGAGAGAAGTAAGAGATGTTACTTTCCCCAAGTGTGGGAAAAGTAGAAGTAACAATCGTTAATTTTTTTGGCGGGGCAAAGTTAGCTGAAAAATAACTTTATTCAGACTCAATGATGACTGTGAATACGCTCCGATCAAATTATCATACCCATAACCCCGATTGCTGTCCATTTTTTTACCTTGTCTCACTGATCCTACTCCCGATGTCATGTCGATATAACCTTCCCCTGCTTCATCCACCTCCGACTCTCGTCCATCGATCGCGGAGCTAAGCGCCACCGATATCGACTTCGACACAGTCTCTTCGCTTGCCTCTCGCTTCGCTTGCCTCTGACACAGTCTCTTCGCTTGCCTCTCGCTCTCACCTATCCCGCCTCTATTGTCAGTCATCCTGGGGTAGATTTCAACTAGACGGCAACACTCGATTATATGTCTTCCGTTTGTATTGAATGTTCCCATTCCACTTCGGAAAGGTCTACGTCGATATGTCCACCCAGTCTCTCCTAATCTCCGACTTGAGCCTGGGATGAACACCCCACCTCTCGAAGAACACCCTACTTCCATCCGTACTACCTCCTTCACCTCCAGCCCGCTTTGTTCTCCGTCCGTCTCTCCGTCCTCTCAGGCAATTCCCACGATCATCCGTACTTCCAAACAGACCAGGCCATGGTTGGAAGCAGACGGCTGGTTTAGCAGTCAGTACCATGAGATAGAAGAGATCATTGGAGAGGGGGAAGAATGTCCAGGAATACATAGCAGGGTGTGGCGATGGTGATATTGAAGGCTCGAGCTTGCCGTGCTCTGGGGCTTGTGGCCAGGTAGAAGTTTTTGACCCCTGTCATCCTTGTCGTCGTCTACTGATCACCATTACCAGTACAATCGGCACTACTGCTACTCCAAACCAATGACGGTATTCCCATGTCTTAAACTTGAGGATATGTCCACATACGTATTCCGTATCCGTGCTGTTACACACAATGAGTTGGAATGAGCTGTTATCACTCGACGCTCCGTAAAATCAACAATTGGTATTTTGTGTCTCAACTGTGACTTAATCATGCACAGCGCTCATCATACGCCACTTTCAACTTAGGCCTACAATCGAGTCCGTGATGACCTGATATCATCCTACTCTCAAATTGGCAACCGATTGCGATACCATTTGTCTACCTACGACACGCTCAACTCCAGAGGATCCTCCGCGCTGGGTTCTGTTCTGACACGTATATTATTGAATCTGTCGAGGTTCACATGCTCGTTATTTGCTCGTTATTCAATGGCCTATTGCGCCCATGTAAAATCCTGTACGGAGACTTCATGATCATCGACGACAATTCCTCCATTCCTCGCGAGATCGTTCGCTCTATTGAAATGGCAGCGGTCTTCGGTCTCAGGGATACTTAGACATCATTCCAAGGGGCTCTCATTTCACAGTTTGGTGCAGCGAATTTCCTTCACAGGGCGGCTTGCTAGTACCTGAGCTGCGGAGTTATGAAGTTCTTTTTTTTTTTGGAAATTTTCACAGTTCTCGGGACAACTGGATATGCCATGTATGGATCTGGCATGAGCATTGCCAGCGCAAGTTATTAGCATTTATTGAGACAGTAGTATGGGAACTGACTCTATATGAATCCCTCCTGCCATTTCTGTCATGTGCGCAATGTACTGCGATAACAGCCCGCACTACCTTGCGCCATCCTCCATGCGTGGATCAATATTGGAAACTCATACCGTCTCTTTGGTATATACAGAGCATGGCATATATAGAGCTCGTCGCATGACGTGCCTTGAATGTTGCCGAATTTATGATTATTACCATTATTGGATCTATCACCCTGTATCTTCTTTCTTATCGACTAAATCGTCCTCAACTACTTCACAATCATCGATGTTTAAATGCTCCCTCGTTAAAAATAACCCTCTATACTCCACCAAGCTCGGATCTTGACAAAGACGTAACGGTTATCTTCCACATCGTGGGTCTAATACAATACCGCAGCGCATATAAAACCTGGCCTATGTACGTTTACATCTCATCAGAACTTTTCTTCAAATCCCCAGTAACCAAGCTGTAGCTGCCTACCCGCTTCATACATTGAATATCTTTGTTCAAAAATGTCGCTTATGTCTCAATCTGGAACCGACATCCCTGAAGAGTGCACATGCGACGAAGAAGCAATTTCGTGAGATATCTGCGTTCACTCTCTTATTATATATGTTTGTCTTACATTTGTGGCATAGTGCGTATAGCACGTCTCCTGGACCTCAAGCGTGAGCTCGCTCCCACATTTTATGAATCGGAATTCACCTAGGTATAATTGCTTCAAGTCCAAAAGTATTCGCAAACATGTTTGCTCTCATCATTGGGGTCCATACGTACCAGAACCCAAGCGGCAGCATCAAACCGTTACCCGGAGCTTGCGCGGATGTTAGGAAGATGAAGGCGTTCTTGCTCAGCATGAATGTTCCAGAAGCACGCATCAAGATGCTACGCAATAGGGAAGCAACCCACGACAGTATCATAAAAGAGCTCTATCATGTAGCCAATAACCGAGGCATCGAATACAATAACCCTATCCTCATTTACTTCGCAGGCCACGGAACAAGAGTGCCAGCTGGAGAGGAGTCATCAAAGGTCATGATAGAGATGTTGTGTCCGTATGACTTCCTGTCGAGGAACGGAGAAACACGTGGGATTCTAGACATCGTTCTTGCCGAACACTTGAACAGTATTTCCAAGGCTAAAGGGAATAATATCGTTTGTGCTTCCACTTTCACCTACTGGCTTCCGGGTTCTGAAAGACTCTCGTTATTAGACTGTCGTTCTGGACTGTTGCCATTCTGGATCGGGAACACGAAAGGTCCCGGGCGGAGACCAGGAGAAATTGACCATGCGCAGTGTGGAGTTTGCTCCAGATTGGAAGAATACCTCTATGGCCCATTTCACCGCTGGTACCCGCGCCACTCAGAAGGCAAGTGTCAGTGGAAAACATACAAAATTAGCCGAGGACACACTTCTCGGGACGTTTTCACATGTCTTATTGGCAGCCTGCAGTGCGCAGCAGTCCAGCAGCGAGGCCATCGCAGGTGGGAAATTCACAACGGAGTTGCTCAGAGCTCTTCAACGCCTTGATACGGACCAGCTCACGTACAGGAGGCTCATCGAAGACCTTCCAGATATTCCTGAGTAAGATTTCAATTTGCGTTATGATAAAACTAGTGACGTGTAGACGCTGATAAGTCCCAACTTGTATAGTCAGCACCCGCAGTGCGAAGGCTTTAACAGGGATAGGAATATATTCACCACCATAACTCCCAATCCCGAAGACGACTTCTACAAGCTCACGCTGATCCCGGATACGTGTCAGTTCACCTTCGATGACGATGACGTACGGGAGGACGATAAATATGCCATTCATGGTGACCACGACGAATCCGCCGAGCGTCCGTTCATTTGCAAGGCCACTGTCGAGTCTGTGGTCATTTCTACCGCGGTCAACTCTACCGCAGTGATGATTGTAGACGATCCCGGCGTCATCCACAAGAAATCGAACCCATTATATGCGTATCCCGTCAATGTTGGGTAAGCACGCTGATCGGCATTTTATTTGTTACTTTAGATAACACCTCCATATCTTCCCCAGATCAATCTCTCAGAAACCATCTGGCAGTGGTTATGCGTTAACGCGAACCACGACATATCAGCTATCCGCTGGAGAAGCGTACGGAATCTATGTGGGGGCCGAATTTGACGTCCATACGGCTCGGAGTCGCGATACAAGCTCAATACTTGGAAAATTCGTCGTCCAATCCACGACCAACTACAAAGCCAAACTCATCTATACATGGTCCCATGATTCCACCCCTGGCACCCCGCCGGAAGCGTGGGGGAGACAGACTCAAGTAGGCCCTGGCCACGACTTTCATCTGGGCATTCCAGCCGAGCTCTCGTACATCGCAAAGGTTGTACAGAGCATGCGCCTTGGACAATACAAAAACATCCTCGCCAACATTCATACTCCTCCAGGAGACCAGGATATGCTGACACTGGTCAAGAATCATGACAACATGATTGCATTCGAGCACCACGAAAATCCAGGCCCAGAGGACAAGACGATGCGCCTTCTTAACCCAGTTTGCTTCGAGCTCGAGAAGACTGCAAGGCGCGTTGTTAATGCCGACTCCGACCTCGTTGTCGGTGCCGATTCCGACACCGTTGTCAATCCCGACTTCATCATCGTAATATCCGGCGCCGCCGACTTCTTTACGTATCTCCGTCGACAACCCCCTTCCAGCTATTTCTTTGAAAAGGGAAAGGAGCGTGTCTTCTTGGAGTGCTATGAACTACAGGGAGACTGCAAAATGATACCAAAGGACGATAAGAACGACCTCATTGGAGAGAAGTGTAGGCTGGGTTTGGATGACGATGGGAAAAAGAGAGCGTATGGGTTCAAGATCGTCAACAAGGACACTAGACCTCTTTATGCGGCTCTGTTCTATTTTGATATGCTCGACCTCAGCATAAGTACGTCGGTAATTTCCTATTGAGAAACAAAACTAATCTTTTCTGATTGTGGTCGCACTAATTCTACTTCCCCACAGGATCTTACCATCAACCAGGCGCAGCCAGAGATGGACATGTCGACCATTGTGTGCTCGCTCAAGACTCGCTTACAATCGGTTATGCACAGGGTGGCAGTGGAGATCCACGAGGGTACCGCGTACGACAGGGTCAAAAGGTGGAAGTGGGGTATTTGAAACTATTTGTTTCGACCCAGTGGGTAGATTATTCAGGGATTGCGCAGACATCACCGTTCAATGGTGGGAGGCGCGGGGATTATCAATACACACCAGATAATTCCCCGTGGGACTCACTTGTTGTGCCAGTGGTGCTGAAACGCGTATTGCGAAGTGTAAAGGTGAGCCTTTGGAGACTGCTTACTTAGATTGCGGGCTAATTATATTATTCTGGACCTGCATGTCTTATCCTACAGACGTGACCATGTAGTGCCCACACTGGTGTACTACGAATCTCGACTCGTTTGTGGAATCCGTAATGAAGAAGTCTCTTGATGATCTTATGCTTACGCCACTTCCAAGTTTAAACTACCCCATTACAGTATGATCCGTTGTGGACTCCGAAGCTGGAGGAGTGTGGCGAAAGCGAAAGGGAACTGTCATGTTCGTTTTCTCTAATCCTTCGAGTGGCACTCTGTAGACCGTCATCCCTCGAGGTAGGCCGAGGTTTGTTGTTTGATGTTTGGGCACCAGCCTGCGTTGAGGGCTGTTGAGGGCGTGAGGTGCCAGCGGACCATGCCTGTTTGATATAAGTACGTCTTGTCGTCACTCAGTACGTACCTACTACTGTACTTTTTCGACCAAAGGTTCGTCACGCGTTATCCGCGTTGATGAACCGAACAAAATACTGCGTGACCTCACGCATAACGCAGGGTGAGCGAACAGTGACCTCGGCAGGCGCTTGCGCAAAATAATCATTTTCGCAAGCGCCTACGTTGTTTTCTGAACTATTTACGGGTCCCGTCACGCTCACGCACGGCTTCTGAACCGTGACCCGGGCGAAACTGATGGGTGACGTAAATTCTTGATGAACCTTTGGTCGAAAAAGTACAGTAAGTTCTGTCGTGGATCCGCCCAATGTCTATGTTCAATGGTCAGAAGGAGTACTTACTATGGAGGGGTATAAATGGTAGTGAGCAGGATGTTGTTGGGATGTCAAGGTCGGATCTCGATGAGGGTAAGTATCGACTCAGGCAAAAGAAAAAAAAAAAAAAAAAAAAAAAAAAGGACGAAAGACGCATTCAGACCCTATACAAATACCGTCGGCGACCCCCGTTATCGCCGTGATAGCTCAGCTGGGAGAGCAACAGACTGAAGTTCTGGAGGTTGCCTGTTCAATCCAGGCTCATGGTATGTCATGTGTTTTCTCGAGAACTCCAGTGTTCCATACCTAGTGGATGTCTGTATAGTTTTGCTCCCTGACAATTTCTTCACTTTTCACTAGTCGAAGGTACTTGCAGCGGTTGGCGCCGCCATGCAGATAGACATGTTAGCCATTGTATGCAGAGAACTTCTAATAGTACACGTCATCGTCCTTGGCCCTCCATTCTTCTCTGGATGCAGATGGGCCAGGTTCCGTCTAATGAATTCATCTACTCATCTAAGTACAGCTTCGATCCCGGAGTCTTCCCATGCTGTAGATCTGTTATGAAGCGACGTCGGGTTGAGGAGCGACGCTCTCCAACAGTCCCACCAGGGAACGGCAACATTCTTCTACTATGTCTCCCATGTCGCGGCCTAGTGGTTCGATGAGCTGTAGACCCGGCATGATGGCTTTCCCGTGTTCCACGTCTCCGTTCTGTAGGGGTAAACCACATATCACCGATCATGATGTTAACAAAAACCACAATAAAAAAGGAGGTATTGTGGACGGTGTGAAAGGCTCGCAGGAGAGCGGTATGTCGAAGGCATGGGAGTAACGGAGTACGCACCTCGAATATCTTCTTATGGGCATCGACATAGGCTGGGTAAACCAATTCGTCGAAATAGCCAGGCGGGTCCTTCCAGAATGTGTTTTCTGTGGCAGCGGATTGATCTCCCCGTAATTCGATGTTGACGAGTTGGAATGGGTTCAGGGGAGCGGCGGAGAAAAAGAGAGATCGGTCAGGTCAGGGTTCGCTTCGCCAGGAAAGAAGAGTGAAAAGGGTGTGATAGAGATTTAGAGACATGATAAAAGAGGATATAATAAAAGAAATCTTGCAGAGAAAGCGAAGCAAGCATTCACCTGCGGTGTAGTACCCCGAACGGTTCTCTCTCCGTGTCTTCAGCGCAGCGTAAGGAACACGAAGGAAGAACTTTGCGTCTAATGACGCAGCGACTTCCTGTCCACGTTACATCCGTCAACATCCCTGCAGGCTGGAAGCGTGAATGAGATAGAATTTACGTACGTCATCCCAGTAGAGCAGAAACCCATCCACCAAGCCCCACACGACCTTCTCTCCCACACCTTTGTCCCCACTGCTCTTTGCAACCTTCTCATGTAGCTCTGCAAACAATTTCTTCCACTTCTGCCTCATCTCTCCGCTCACTTCGAACTGTTTCTGCTCATTGAGATGATCGTGGGACTTGTGGTCTGCGGGTACGGATGCTGTGAGTTTAACTGTGGCGAGGAAGGAGCGCAAGCGGGGATAGTCTATTGCGGTTGGTGCGGAGTCCCAGTCTTGGCCGAGAGTTGGGTGGATTGGAAGAGTTGAGGAGTGCTATCGGAGTATGTTGGTTCACGGCGCAAGACGAGAGAATCCTAAATGGGTGGCGCAATCTCTGGAGAGCGACGGAAAGACTAACTGGTGCAAAGTCCTGCGACATCAGAATTGAAGAGCACAGTCTCAATCAGTTGAATTGACGCTCACAGACACATCTCGACAAAATTACTCACGTCCTGATGAATGATGAAGCTATCGGGCAATATACTCCTGAGATGCTTCGCCAGCGTTGTCTTTCCCGAACAAGTCGCACCACTACGTTCCGGACCCCATCGACCCAGTAAGAATACAGCCTCAGGGTTGAAGATTTCTAGCATAAGTATATTTTAACTTACCCGAGCCCGACAAGGATAATGCGCGTGCGTTTGGCTTCGACAGATTGGGCCTCGGTGAGGGCTCCCTGCGTTGGAAGGGGAATGGGCGTAGATGTCATGATAGCCCTGACCCTGGGATTACGTTGAGTAGGAGATATATTTGGCGGGTAGGTTAGAGGTCTAAGCCCTTGGTATGAATACAGATGGTCGTGTGCTTGTCGGTTGTCGAAGGAAGCGGAGATCGCGGTCGAGTCACTTGAACAAATACGAATAACTGTTCACAATATATCTGTGTAACAAAACTTAGTTCGAGCGATATATGAAGAGATATAAGGGCTTACAGACGCGCTACCGTAGATGATGAGCTGTAACCGAAGAGCTTGTTCATAAGAACCAGGAGGAGGGAGCGAAGATCGATGATCGCCACAGCGCTTCAAAGCTGAGTATGTGCAGCTTATCTTATCTTATCCTATCTCCACGTGGGCGGCGCTTGTTGAGAAAAGCGCCGCGTTCGAATAGGTTCGAATCTTGCCAACGACTGTCACCTCCTTTCGAGCAGGCATCTCATAAATTCTGGGCACAACTACATTGGCAGACGTCCACACTAGGATTTGATTTCTCGATATGTGTCTATTTGTTTTTTTGCTTTGATTTATCCAACAGGAACTTCGTTTAATCCTGCTCAAGTTGTGGCCCGCCAGCTTGAACATACATCTGACTCGTCGTCGACATGCATATGTTGTGTAGGCAGCGCGAGCCTGAGGACTGTATTCTTCAGCCTACCGACAGCTCCAGTCTTATCGTCTCTACGATGCTCCTGCTGGTCATTGAATTCTTCATCTCTTGCTTCTTCGAGATCTATCTCCGCCCCGCCGACCCGTTTTCAGCCACGTCGCGCTTGTTCAACCGCAGTCCATTCTCGTAACGACCTTTTCAACTACACATCTGGGCGATGGATGCAAGTTTCATACCTGCTTTCTTCTGCCCATATATCCGACCACTAATCAAACGTTCTCAGCTACAACGATGCTCTTCGCCACGCAGAGCGCAAACGTGTTTTTAACGTCGATGGGCTATGCCGACTTGCAGCGGAGTCGGTCAATCGAAGTCCCAATGATGTTCACAACTTAGAAAAGCTGGCCGAGGGTGGATTCAACCGTATCTTTCTGATCACCATGCGCGACGGCTTCCAGATGGTAGCACGTATCCCATACCCGATCACGGTTCCCAAATACTACGCTGTCGCTAGTGAAGCAGCCACTATGGCCTTCCTTCGTTCCTTTGGGCTTCCTATTCCCGAGGTGTACGGGTACTCCCCTGTGCCGGACAATGTCGCAGGAACCGAGTACACCTTCATGGAGTTCGTCCGAGGCACCAAATTAAGCGACGTATGGGCTGACCTTGGGGATCGGGATATCGCTTCAGTTTTACATCAACTTGCTGGACTCGAGTCCAAGATGATGTCGGTTTCTTTACCGGCTGGCGGAAGCCTGTACTACACACACGACATGGAGAAGCGGGATGGCATCTCGGGCATCCTGCTAGTAGAAAACGAGCGTTTCTGCGTCGGTCCTGATGTAAGATTACCTCTGTGGTTTGGCAGGAGATCACTGATTGACGTCAATCGAGGACCACGTACGCTGCTCTCTACCCTTTTATTGCATTAACGCCCTCAACGAGTAGACAACTTCAGATATTACGGCCGAAGAAACGCTCGTAAACGCAGCTCACAAAGAACTGGCGTATCTGGAGCAGTTCGGCGAGCCGTTGTTGCCTTTGGAGCGCATCAGGAGGGAGACTTACTAGTACAAAAAGCAGTCTCCGCTGGATCACATCGAAAACCTTAAGCGTTATCTCCTCATTGCATCTTCACACGTTCCCAATGACCCAACTCTCCGTCATTTCCGTATCCGCCATCCAGACCTCCACCCGAGCAATATCATCGTTTCAAGGTCGCCCGACTCCAGCTGGCAAGTGACTGGCCTGCTCGACTGGCAGCATGCCTCGATCCTACCCATGTTTCTCCTGGCGGGTATACCCCAACGCCTCCAGAACTATGGCGACCCCGTTTCGGAGTCTATGACGCAGCCTGCGCTACCGAAGAATCTGGACGACTTAGACGAAGCCGAGCGCCTTCCAGCGAAGGGTCTCTACCATCGCCGCCTCGTCCACTACCACTACGTCAAGGCCACGGAGGAATGCAGCGAGCTCCACCACAAGGCATTAATAAGCCATATGGGCGTGCTCCGCCGCCGCCTTTTCGATCACGCCAGTAGCTTGTGGGACGGCGAGACTCTCGAGCTGAAGGTGGACTTGATTGAATCAGTGGAGCGCTGGGAAGCGCTTACAGGCGGAGGTGCGCAGTGTCCAATTGTGTTCGACGCTGAGGATGTTCGGGAGACAAAGAGGTTGGGGAAAGTACAGGAAGGAACAGACGAGACCATGGAGGCGGTCCGGAGCATGATTGGATGCGGGGAGGAGGGGTGGGTTCCCACAGAGGACTATGAGGAGGCCATGGCCCGCACCAAGGAGCTGAAAGAGGCTGCGTTGGCGGCAGCCACGTCAGCGGCGGAACGGGCTGAGATCACGAAGCACTGGATTTTCGACGACATAGACGAAGATAAATACGCGTAGTGGATCGAACTGAATACTAACAAATAACCTCGGCAGGGAAACTCATCGTAGAGCAGGAATATGTCGATACCGCCCAAATACCACCGCTCTTCAGCTTCTTGACGCTATCAGGAATATTTATTTCCGATCTCATTTCTTTCTGATCCTCATCCGTCGTGCTACCTGCCGTATGGTTCAAGCAGAATATTGCGTGCCATCCAAGATCGCGTAACGTACAAATTAGTGAACCCCCCGATTAACATAATATACGGAACTTCTCATTCTCGCCCAATTGCCAACGCAAATCTCTTTGCATACTTCCCACTTTCATTCTTCTTTATCCCCTCCTTCTGTTTTGGAACTTCATCTGCCTCCACTCCGTTCCCATATCTATCATTCTGCACACCACCCGAACTATATAACGAGCCAACGCCACCACCTCCACTCTCATCCGAAAACCTCTCCAATCTAAACATAGCCCTCTCTTCCACCCCAATCTCGTGCGGTCCCCACTTCAACATCTCCTTCGAATACCCCGGACAGCACCAATCCCTCGCCATCTCCAGCTCCTCATCCAATGCGCATTTCCTGATCTTCCTACCAAACCCAGAGTCCGGGCTTTCCAACGACAGACTGAGGCCCAAGAGCCGGACGAGGTTCAAGGTGCGGTCGTGGAGACGGAGAGGGATGAGAGATGGATGGGTCGTGTTGAGCGTGTAGGTCGACATGCTGCTTATTTGAAAAATGTAGTCGATGGAAAAGTCGAGGAGACCGCCGTTCGAGAGATAAAAGTCGACTGCTTCGAGTTCTTCTACGCCGACCGTGAAACTCATACCAGGCGTGAGCTTACAATTTTCTCGAGTCTTGGACTTGGTACCAACGGTCTTGAGTTTGGTTTTCAGATGTTCACGAAGGTTCGAGACGGTCGGAGCGTCTTGGAAAAGCGTGTGGCGTAGGAAGGAGTGGATAAGCCAAAATGTGGCGCGCCAGCCTTTATATAGAGGAGGGGTAAGACGGGTACGAATGTGGGAGGGGAGAAAACAGAGGGATGGGTCAACGTCTTGATCCTTTATAGGAGTAAACTTGAAGGACGATTCCGAGGCGCTCTGCGTATGGCGGTTACGAGGCGCCGTCAAGAGAGCGTCCGGAATGTGAGGGATGCGATCTATGATCACGGAACAACGGTCTGTGACGCAAATCCCACAATAATCAGCATCAAATATCGAGGGAGTGGACGTAGAAAGGGTCTACCAAACATCCAAACTCCCATCCGCTCGCTGAACCATCCCTCCGCACACTCGCCACACGTACATCCCCACCTCCTCTTCCTAACATATTCCTCCTCCGTTCCCCCACCCATGCCCACGGCTTCCCCCAATGCCTTCTTCATCAACCACTTGATCCTTAAGAATTTCTCGTCAAATCCTCTAAACACCCCGAACTCAGCATCATCCTTTTCCTTCCGCTTATTCAAGAGGCGGCCGCACAGCTCCCTGGCGCTCATGAACGCCACGTTGTCCCTCCTATCGATATCCCTACTCGCGCCGAGAGAAAGCAGAACTCTGACTGCTGCGACAGAAGGCTGTTGAACGGCCACGAGTAAGGGTGTGAATCCGCGATAGTCTCTATCGTGAATGATGGAAGGCTTAGAACGATGAAAACCGAGGATGATGAGAGGTATTTGTTCTTCAAGAGCGGTCTGAAGGTAATAATGCACAGGGAAGAAACGAGAGTCGTATTCCGCGCCTATTGGTTCGAGATCGTCGGGCCTGCCATAGGTAAGAACACCATCTTTCGATACAACCGGACAGTCAGGGGGAGGGGGGTTGTCAATATCGTCTCGAGCGGAGATGTAGCGTGAGGGATGGGTGGGAGATGTGGCGAAGGCGAAAACGGCCGTGCGTCCTACGCGACGGAAACCGACAGATCTGAGGAGACTAATTCGTCGGGTGCAGGGACTGGAGTTTTTCCCTGCGTTGCTGGGCCAGGACCATGAAAACATGTATTGCGCGCCGGATGAGGCAATATGTTTGGATCGAAGCAAGTTTCGCAAAAGCATGGTCGCGATCGCTCGGGAGGTCGGATCCTGAAGAGCAAATGGGAACAGCATCATGAATCAGTCACGCGTTCACTGGGATGTGGAATATAAGGAACCGGCGCACCTTGTAGCCATCAGAGCTGCCCGAAACTGCGACTTCTCCAATAAAGAGTACCATAACTCCGTCATTAATTTCTCTACCCCAGACTCCTGAGCCCTTCTGCCATTTATCATCGACCAAGAAATCCCTGACACTTCTGTACTTGTCGAACACTTCGAAGTAGGCATCATGCAAGTCCTGCTCCTCCGAGCGTTTAGCAGATATAAGACCGGGTAACGGGCATCCATGCAGCATGTCTCTATCTAGCAACCACCCGATCATTTGAGCAAGGCATCCTTTGATGGGATGAATGAGGCTACATGACAGAGTTTGGATAAGGAGAGGATAGACTGGGTGAGGCTGGCAGTCGACTGAAAGGCTGCAGTCGGTGTATTTCTCGGGACTAGCGACAGAGTTCATGGTCAGAGAAAAGAGTAGCCTTCGAAAAGATTGAGACTTGCTAAAAGCTTTATACCTCAACGCGGGTGGAGGATCCTATGTGACATGCGATGGGCTAAGAACGATGATCCTCAGTGCGGACCCGTAAACAAGACTGGGGGTCTGCGAAACAGGCATCCCAAAGTCCAAGTTATTACAGAGAATATATGCCAGAGAATATAATGCACCACAAGCAGAAAATAATAAAGATGCTTTCCCATGATGTGTTTCGGATTTCTGTGCCAGCGCTTCACGAACGAAGAGCCGGTTTACTTGTTTACCAGTCTCAGCCTCCGTCTAGGAATGTACGAAAGCAACGAAACCGACTGATGCAAGAAGGATAGAACAAATTTGTGCTGAAAAAACACTTCACCGAGGTGATCCGTACGAACAGAGGATAGAAAGCCGTTATGGAGGGGTCGGAAACTCGAAAGCAAAGCCAGAGGGCCACCTCGCCACCCATGCCAGCTCTACTTACACGTGGTATTGCTCCCGCGCCTCGGAAGGTTCTTTAATTTCGAACATTTTTTGGAAACATCCCCGCAGTGCCGCGACCGTCGTCTCTGTCAACGCTTAAAGCAAGGTTCTCTCTCCACACAGTGCAGTATGATCTCTATATCCTAGTAGAAACGCTGGCGGTCCCGAAAAGCTCATGATTCTTGCCGTTGATACTCGTGCTAGTGTGCTTTGGCTCTGGACTCGTCCCGCCTCCCCCACATTCTGGCGTCAATGGAAGCAGGAGCAATGCGAATGCGAACGAGGGCGATCCTTGAAAACGAGACTTGGGAAAAGTGACGATAGGGAACGTGTTGGCCACGTGAATGCTGGCGTGTGGGTCCACATTTACTGTTTGGTTCCATTTTGGCGTGGTTGAAGACGCGTGGGTCCTCAAGTTGCTTCTGAGGTGTACTTTGACGGTTCTGATTTCGGTCCCTTTTATCATGGTATTCCTCAGACTCTACCTTCTCCATCTACAAGTGCAGCTTCACTTAGAGGGTTCATGCCCAGACCGTTCATGGCTGCTCGGCGGGACCGTCTGTATGCTCCCTGATCTCGAGGCTTCTGTCCCTCCCGCGAACCGCATATGTCACCCTTGACTCTGCTTTTCTAGACGTCCCGCTATCTGGTCCTTTGATACGTGGCTTGTAAATAACCCCTATCGTGGCACGGTCTCCCCAACATTAAAAGCAGCAGACTTTGCACGCGTCTCCCTCCTGCACGGTCTTCCATTCTCCCCTCTGCGTCTGCCTAGGTGATGGGAATACGTGGTCACTCTCAAGTACTGCAAGTAGTCTGGCCTCTCAGCATACCTTCACAAAGGAGTCAGAGATGAAGCGATAGCGTGTATTTTCGTGCTTCTGGTCGTGGGAGCGTGGCGTACTCATGGTGGTCTGCAGGCCTCGGTAGCGGAAGAAGGACCAGATTACAAGAGTGAAAGGGTGCTGTATTAGACTCCCTCTAACAGGTTTCGACACTCCGTGCCATACGACGTCCTTCATCCGCATCTCTTGCCGCCTTCACATACACTCCCCATGCCCTTGCTGACTTCACTCTGCGAGCTCTGGTCCTGCGTCCTCTACGTATTCGGCTTTTTGGTTCTGCTATGCGCCATCGACAATACTCGAATCCAGCACACCAGAACCATCTATCTCTACGACCCCAACGGCGCCGAGTACATTTCTTTCGAAGTAGCAACATACGGGGTGCGGGAGAACGCCCCGAACGCGCCCGTGCCGACGTTGTTAGCCGCCGATGGGGTAGCCCAGGAACCTGATATGCGAGCCGGGAGCAACAGTGCGAGAGGTGGGAGGGCTATCAGGGCGGACAGTCAGAGGGATACAGATGGGTCTGATCTAAGCATGAGCTACGGTTCAACTGTTACCGAGTCGCCATCTGCGGCGTCGACCTCCATCTCGGGTGAGACGTTGGTGGGGTCCGACGCTGGAACGTCGATGTCTGTCGGGACTTTAGTGGGGTCAGAGCCTGGAACGTCGATGTCTGGTGACACGTTAGTGGGATCTGTCGACTCTGACTGGGATATGTTGGAGTAGGCGATCGTACGGCTTTGGTAGTGCTGTAAGTTCGCGCTCACCTACCTTTCGAACGAAGCGGCTCAGGATCCTTGCTATTTATTTAGACCGACGTTGCTTCTTCCTCTGGTCGATAGCATAACCCTTTCAGCTACGGATACGAAGAATACTGTGAGTGCTCTCCTTATGAGTGGTCTTTGCGAACACTGATACAAGACGTGGGATCGACAGCCTAGTTTGACCCACCTAATCTAACTTATGCCTGGATATCACGTCCTTCAACCATAGCCTGCCTACTCGGCATTGCGCACACAACCCGACACGAGAAGCGTCAGCTTCGAACGCAGCGAGAACGCATGTGAAGGAGAGGAGGTTGGGTCTGTTTGTAGGCTTGTATTTATTTAATCCCATTTAAAGTCGGCGCATATACAGGCGGGGAGTGAATGTTTGAACGGTAGATAGGTGCAAAGTGGAATATTGGGACCCAAGTAATGTTATTGCTTAGAGCTTGAACTCGCTGCGGAATATTTCAAGTTGCTGGAGGATGATGATGACTACGATCCATATGGTCCTGTTCCTGTGGGAGCTTTGATGGCACGCTTGGTGGATCTGACCTCCACGGCTGGATGTATAGAAGAGCCCGCATAATAGACCTTTGTATTTGGGGATCTGGGGATTGGATGTATGCAGGTTGACAGCGATGAGATATTTGTGTTCGGACTGTTACACCGTTCATATGCGCAGAATGCACAAATTACAGGAAAAATACAGGACGAAAAAGACTGCTGGGCTCACAACATGCCGCGGTGCGGATACGGCAAATCGAAGTCTTGTTTCACAACAAAGCTCCTTCGAGGTTCATGACCGACTCAACACAGGAGACGGCACAGCCTGGCAGATGATCTGACCCACCACGACAAAGAGGAAAGACGACCAGAGCAGGGGAAGTTGCGCCCTCAAGGCCGATTAGGCTTCCCAGTCAGCCCTCTGACCCTAGACCTCGTTGAACAACCTGATCTCCATCTCACCTCGACCGAAAGTCAACGCGAACACGGGATCTCAGGCTTGCATCCTACACCCCACACCCGTCATGAGCGCACGTTGAGCCGACGAATGAATACAAGAATGATATGTATAATAAAGTTACATTGTACAACACCCGACCGTACGCATATGAGCGAGTCGGGAGCCACACAAAACGACGAAAACAGAGATGATAAAAGATAGTCAGAACAAATGGTCGGAAAGCCCGAATAGCGGATAGCATGAGATGGGAAAGAAACCGCAGGAGAAAAGAAACAAATCCAATAAAACGATCCCGCTCGCCACCGCCACGTCGCCACACACAAAGTTCGCACCCACTTCGAACTGAGCCTACTTCTTCAAGTCCCCGATGACCGAGTCTGCCGCATACCTGGGGATAACTTTCGGGTCGTGCAACATATTGAACTCCTCCGTTGCGTCCCGACCAGCATATAACAGAATCGCCTTCTCTCCTCCCGGATGGTCGGGCAAGAAGGACGTAACGTCGAGGACTTGGCCGTTCACCACAACCCAGACATCATCCTTCTTGTTGTGCTTGGCGACGTCTTCGAGAGTGAACGCTTTTGTTGACGATGACGATGACGATGATGAGGCGGCGGCAGAGGATGTGTTCTTCTCTTCTGAGGCGGAGGCAGTCGCAGGCTGAAAGAGCGAAAGACGAAAGTCAGCATGTGAAGGCAAAGGAAGAAGTAATGACGAGCGAAAAATTCGTACCTTGCCCTCGACATGCCCACTAATAGCCGCCAATCTCGACGCAGCCTTACCCGACGCATACGACTGCAACAGATACGAAGCCGCCGAGTCACCCGACACCCGTCCGAAAACGACACACCCCAGCAGCGACGAGCCTCCCAGCCTGTTCGCGCCGTGCACACCACCCGCGACCTCACCAGCAGCGAACAGTCCAGGGATTGGCTTGCCCTCCTTCGAGACGACACGCGACTCGGCGTCGATCTCGAGGCCGCCCATGGTATAGTGCAGTACGGGAGTCATGATGGCGACGTTGAAGTAGTCGGTCATGGACCATTCGCCGGAGGAGAAGAACTGGGGAAACGGAGTTACGGTCAGTATGTGCTAGGCTCATGAGAGGAAGATGAGCATGACGCACTTTCTTGCCGAATGGATCCTTCTTCGCGCGTACGACGGCGTTGTAGTCGTCAAAAGTCTTCTTGAGCTGCGCGGGCGTGAGGCCCATCTCCTTTGCGAGAGCCTCACCGCTGTCGAACTTCTTCATCAAGCCACGGCCGACGTAGTGCTTGCAGTGCCACTCGATCTCCTTCGACGCCTGTCCGTTAAGAACGAGTCGAATGGGGTACTGCACGACAAGACATGAGTCGGCTGGCAAAGAGAAACAATGGGCACCTTTAAAGGACACATACCTTGCCATTCTCCCACATCTTACCGGTAACGAAGTCTCGGTGCTGAAGCTCATCGACGAACCGCTTGCCCTCATTATCCAACAACAACCCACCGACACCTCTCAACGCCTCTGCCGCCAAGAACTTGACCTTCGCATCCGGCTCATTGGGATCCACGAGACCCGTCGGATGCACCTGCACCTTCTCCAAGTCAATCGCACTCGCACCGATACCCAAAGCAAGCTTATGTCCATCACCAGTACAATGGTCACCGTTCGTGGTAGGAAGGTCGTAGTATTCTGGCCTGTACTTCTTAAGAAGCGAATCGGAGGTGAAGTCGGCGGCGTAGCCTCCCGTGGCGAGGACGACGGGTCCGTGAGCAGTTTCGGTCTTGTTCTTGTGTTCGTACTCGACGCCGACGACGGAACCGTCAGAGTCTTTGATGAGCTTCGTTACGCGGGCTTTCTTCACGATTTTGACACGGTCGGGGGTAGAGATGGCGAGGTCCTCGAGGCGCTCCATTTGGGCGTATGTGATCACCTGCGTTACGGAAAGCGGTGCGCCGTCGGTTCGTCGGTCAGCGTGGGTATAATGAGGAGCGGAAGGGCGCAGAGGACGGAGAGCAGTCGAAGTGGATGGATGAAAGAAACGTACCATTCCTGGGAACTGAGCATTACCACGGTGGGTACGAGGCTGACTATGGCCACCGAGACGGGCCACCTTGGAGAGATCGAGGCCGAACTTGTCCTGGAGCCAGTTGACGGCGTCACCAGAGCGCCCAGTGAGCACTGTGATGAGGTCATCACGAGCAAGTTCGCGAGCCTATCCTCATCCTCAGCACACATACAAGTTGTCAAATAGTTGGCTAATACGCACAGATTTCTTCGTATCCTCGAAGAAGATCTTCGCATTGTCCGGAATTCCGGCCTCCTGCTGTGTTTGTGTACCGGCACCGTTGATACCAGAGGTCGCTTTTGTTGAGTTACCACCCATAAAACTACATTAAAACCCGTCCAGTCAGCCTCCATCCAAGCGAAACTAAGCTCTAGAATTCGTACGAACCCCTGCTTGTCGAGCAAGAGTACACTCGCGCCCCTCTCAAGCAGAGTGTGAGCTGCCGAAAGACCAGCGAGACCACCGCCGACAACAATAACCTGAGCCATCTCTTTCTTAATGAATTGTCTGGAATAAAAGCAAGAACGAAAGCGGCGGTGTGGAGAGAAGAGGGAACACAGGTAAAGGAACTGGAGGGAGGAGGTCTTATACACGCTCAGGCCAATCACGCGCGGGAGATTGCCCCGGATCCCCACTTTCCATGTGATATTCCGGTCGGTCCGCTGCCCGATTAGGCGCATGTGGCGGGCGCGCATACGGTGTGGCCCACGAGACAATGCCGTCGGTGACGAGAGTCGGGATGGGCATGTGAGGCAATAAGCAGGTTTTCAGGTGTTTCTCAGCGTATCATGGACGAATTCAAGACGAATTCCTCATGCGCGGATTATATAGCGAACGATCACAAGGAAGGGGAGGATACGATAGCTCGAAGGATTGGGGGAACAGGGGATTATACTTTCCGAGTCCGGATCCAAGACATCCGGGTGAGAGTTGGTATCCGACATCGTGTCACACAGCTAACAACTCTGTTGGTATACAATGGGCTACATGGTGCGGAGAGGCAACGATAGAGGAATGAATTTATACGAAGTCAGAATGGAAGGCATGGATAAAGGATGGGCACGAGCGGACGCTGAAGGCGCCAACATCAGGGTGAAGAGGACAAGGAGCATTCGAGGAAGAAAAACATTGTTTAGACGCAAGATGTCGAGATTCGGAGAGCGTCAAAAGGATGCAGGAGGTCACGAACCTGTGCAGTAGACGCCACATAATCATCAGTAATCCTAGCCTCGATGAACAGAAAAACAAATGTCAACGTACTCTCTGCTCTGGTTTAGAGACCGTCAGCTCCTTGTTGAAACAATGATGTCCACAACGAAGTAACCTGTGGTATGTACATAGTCAAACGCAGCTCACAACCATTGAAATATGGGAGACGATCATGGTGGTGATACTCACATTCATCGGCCTCAACCCACCGTCGTCGACCTCCTCCCCTTCCTCCTCCCACTCGTCGCATCCTCCAACTCATACATCCTATGGTCCTCAATATACCGCCTCTGCCTCTCCCTAGCATCCTGACTCCCATTCCCCGCCCCCATCGCCGAAACCATCCCTCTATTGACTGAAGAAGTAGACACAGAGATCGTCCTCCCCTCTCTGGTATGTTCGTAGACCATTGACTCGTCTCCGCCAGGTCGACGCGTAAACGTGAGCTTCTCGCGGTCGCGATTGACGCAGAGACTGAGGACTACGAAACAGATGGCGCATAATACACTGTACCAGAATATGTACCCCGACCACTCCATGATGCGATGAAGGGTAGATAGCGGGTGTATAATGGAAGCAAATATTCGAGAGGAATGAACTGGGTCGTTGTGACCGTTCGGTGGGGAAGCAGATGGCGACCACAAAGGTTGCTTGTTGGACGTGCTGCGACCTTATAAGTATCCGCTAGGTGGGGGTGAGCCACTCCCTTTGCTCCTGAAAGCAAGCCTCGCCGCCACGCTGAGTGGCGCGCTCTCACGCAGAGAAGCATGCCATCGATATGCCTTTGACTCGAACGAGAAAACAGATAACGCATGAGATGTCCCTTCGAGGATATCGCACGAACGTGAGTGTGGGCTTCTTGTCTTGAAGTCCGAGAGGAGGGGACAAAGATGAATAGGAGGCGAACCTAGAGGCGTCATCATTTTGTCTCTTTCGCCCAGAAATGGGAAAGCAGGAACACGAAGAGCAATGAGGCTGACCACAAGGTAGGAGAGATTGAGATAGACTTTAATAGAAGGTGTAAGAATTCTGATGGAGAGAGACACGTCGAGATGAAAGTACAGCCACAAAGAGCATGGTGACAGTCTCGGTATGGGGCGACATGCAATCCTGAAACACTTGGATGCCTTTATCCAAACATTACGAGGCCGAACAGACAGACAGACATACAACGCAGAGAAGCACGGTTGCACAAAATAAAAGAGCGGTGAACATGAAGTATCATACAGCAGGAAACCGATGTTCCGCAAAAACCGAGCACAGAGAATAAAGATCGTACCAGGAGGGAAGTCAGTGCAGTCCCTCGGCTCTCTCCAAGAGTGGCGTAGGATAGCGAAGAACAGAGAAATTAGACATAAGGCAGGCAGCACGAGTGGGATGATGTTTCATAGAAGACCCAAAACTTCTGATCCCAACGCCTCGCAGGTAGTGGACCCACAGACACCGAAAGCATGTAGGCCTTCCTCCTATAGGATATTTTTTCACGACCAGCAAAGAGAGCACCGATGAAAGCGAAGAGTTGAGATAGAGGCTCGACTACGCGCATAGGCATGAATATGGCGCATGTTTCCAAAGCCGATATGAAGGTAAAGAAGCCTGAGCTTCTGCGCAGCGAGGTGGAGGTGAGGAGAAGTGAGGAGGCCTCACTTCCACGGAACCGATATGCCATAGAGAGCTGATGACGCCCGTAACTAAATTCATGGCGACCAAGTACACCACTAAAGAGGCATGACTCAAAGGAACGAAATACATCGAGGGCGGGCAATGAGAAAACTGAGCATTTGTGGCAGAAAGAGCATGATGGTGGAGCGAAGCACGAACAAGAAAGAACGATCAAGCTGTCCGTGCGCTGTTTTCGTCGTGCGAACAAGCCCACGTGTCCCACGTGTTACACTCAAGCCACGAACCACCGCGTCGGACACGTCGAACTTAACTTTGATGTTCCCTCTCGTCTCTTGCATGGATCTCGAGGTTAATAGTACTGTCACGCGACAAATGCTTGATTGGTACCACGGTACCCTTGCTCCTGGGCTCGATGTTGGCTCCTTATCATTGGTAGAGTAACTTGAAGTACCAACTGATCTTAATTTGGCCATTTCTTCAACTTGAACTTGACCGCACCTTGACCGTCCGGATACTGTGTCGACTTGTTTCCAATTGCAACTCACACCATAGCTGGTCATAGTCGTGATATAAGGGCAGGAATTCTTGAGGTACTCGCGGCTTCAGAGCCAGCGGTCTAGTCCTGTAGGTCTCATGCGTCACTTCTTCGCCACGCCACAGGTGTTCTTATATATAGCGCACACACGGCTAACGTCCGCTGAGTATATGAAGTTCGAGTTCTTGTCTTTCGGAGGTGAATTCTAATTCCACTCCATGGTTCAAATAGCTCGTACCAAAACCTCGACTGTCTCCAAAACGGAATTCGAATCGACTGTACCGACAGCCTCACCATAGTAGCCCGAGGTGAACATCGAGCATACTCAACCACCTTCTACCGACGGCGGTTCTCCCTCAGTATCCACACTCTCCAATCAACCCTTCCACATCCCCCCCTTCCTCCCCTTTCGCTACAGACCCTGACTATCATGGACATCATAGAGATTCTGATCTTCTGCATCTTCAGAGGCACCATCTTCTATATACTCGTGAAAGGCGTCATCGCGATCTCGCGCCCCGTCTACGTCCGCTGGCGCAAACTCACCTACAGTGTCGGCTCAGATGGTCGACCGCTGGTTACATACGAGACGAAGTAGTTGGGGTATATGACGCGCGAGGAAGAGGGAGAGGAAAAAAAGATGGTAATGGCAGTAGGGATTGCGGCGGAACGAGTACATACAAACTGGATCAAGGGTAGCACTGGGAATGTGAGGAATATGGGCTACGGTCGTGCCGTTCACTCATGCGTGAGCTCGGGCGCGAGTTATCGTGATTATTGGAGTTCGTCTCCGTCTCGGGCGGAACGTCCATATGAAGAGAGGGCCAGATTCGTTCGATAGGATGACACGCACGCAGGAAGTGGACGATTCTCTGGCGAGCCAGCCTGTGAAAGTTTGTCAGCCAGGAAGTGGAGGTTCTGCGGGCAGTACTAATGGAACGCCGAGGAGACGATCGGAAAGACTGGCGGCGAAGGCAGCTCGCAGTCGTTGAACTATTTCTTGTGTATGTTTACCAGTATGTACCAGTGCAGCTAGTGTTTGCCATGGCTAAATGTATTGTTCGTGTGGCAGAATGTTACTTGTGTACACATGAACCCTCGTTCATAGGTAGCTGTGGTTCCAACACAGGCGTTGATTGCGGTCTAGCTTTGCGACTTGATGCAAAAGGGCGCCACGGAGACTTCGACAGTGATTGAGGAAACCGATTTCCCCAAGGTATGCTTACTGCAGGGTTTGTATGGGAACAACGAGGTAGTGCGAGACGCGGATGGTCATCAAATTTTCGCTTCCTCCAGATCAGCTGATATCCGTTTAGCCCGTTTGTCAAAGTCTCAGTAAATGATTGGTGTATCCGTGGTCATTCATCTGTCACTTCAGCGCTGACCGATGTACGACCTGCCTCCGTAGGGTCTTCTGTTCCAGATTATCGTAAGGTGATGTGAACTGTGAAACGAGGGTCTATCAAATTAGCCTCTAGTTCAGAACGGATCTATATACAACTCAGCTGATGGCCATCAGCCGCAACGAAACGGAGCTCACTCCTGCGGATAACTACCTCTTAATTGAGATCTTGCCTGTCGCTCTATTTGCGTCAACCTCTCTCAATCAATATGGCTACATCCACACTTTCCCGACTTTCTAAGCTCATCGCAGAGTCAGTGGCTACTATAGAGGCCAGTTGTGCTGCACGGAGTGTTGAAGTTCCCAGCATTGATTCCGCATTCACTCCTGGGTCCGAAGCATTCCGCATGGACCCCACTGTTGCTCAAGCCATAAATATCGTGACTGCGTCTGCGTATCAGATAGCAGCTCTCCTGGAACCTCCGCCGGTCCGTCTCTCATATCGCATCCGGTGTGCATGCATATGTTTTCACTACACTTCTTACTCTGACATCGCGGTACTTTGAAGCACTACAAAGCGATTGCTCTTGGGGCTCTCCTCGAGACGAACACTGTCGAGATCCTGCGGGAGGCGGGACGAAATGTACGTGTTTCCTTGTTGTAGCTTCTCCAGAAATACTGGCCGATACCCTACGAAGGGTACTCATGTAGTTGAGATAGCGAAGAGGAATCAACTAGACCCCAAAAAGAACGGTAAGACCCCTTTTACTATGCTCTCAGTTAATATTTACTCACGCATGCACAGCTCGTTTACATCGCAACCTCTCCACGTACTACATGTTTCGGGAAGGGAGCCGGATGTCTTTGCAAACACTCGTATATCGGCAATGCTTGACACAAAGGGAAGTCTGTTGATGAACCTCTCGCTAGGTGTGTTCCATCTTTTTCGATGTTTTTAGTAGAAATATAGCTGATGAAGGAACATTGTAGACCCCGGGACAGGCACGTAGGCACCTCCGGGTTTGTCGCTTTCATTGAGCATATGTATGTTGTATTTCAGCATACTCCATATTTTCTCGGGTTTGACGTCCTCACAATTAGCCTGGACGAGGGATGGATGGGAGCAACCTCCGCCGTCACGACTCTTCGTGATCCAAAGACTCGCTTTTCCGGGGATCCCACTGATGCGCCGCTGGCTCGTACCATAGGTTCGAATGTCCCTTTCTGGGTCTGGATCGAACAGCCAGACCAAGAAATGCGTCTTCAGCGTTTTGGAATTGCTATGCAGGGAGTGGCTGCGATGCAGCCTGCAGCGGCTGCTCTTGATCGTGGTATGCCTCGAGCATATTTTCTTCCCGTCATTTTTATACTCGATGCTCATGGAACATCACTCACAGGCTTTGACTGGGAAATTCTCGGAGTGGAAGATGTGGTGGTCGATGTTGGAGCCGGAGTCGGCGCCGTCCCTCTCGCGCTTGCAAAGTCGTATCCGTCCCTGAAGATTGTTGTTCAGGACCGTGACACCGTCACCGCACAGGCAAATGGGGTGTGTGCAGTCTAGCAATGTGTGAAGCAATTAATTCATAACACTAACCAATATTCAATGATTTGGGCTAAGGAGCTTCCCGAAGCTGTTCGGTCCGGGAGAGTCAAGTTGCAAGGTAATCTTTCCCTCCATCCGCTGTCTGTCACTTTCTGCCTGATTTTAATCCTTCCTTAGGTCACGACTTCTATACGCCGCAACCCGTGAAAGGAGCGAGTGTATTCCTCCTCAAGCAGATTCTACATGACTGGTCCGACAGTTATGCGATCACGATACTGAAATAGCTGCGGGTGGCCGCGACACCGGACACAAAGCTCGTGGCTATGGAGAGCATCGTGCATTATGCCTGCCGCGAGCCCCGAACTGTCAATACAGTTGTAATTCCTGGGGCTGTACCTCATGAGGCCCACGAACCCCTTCTCGCCAATTTTGGCCCAATGGGATGGCCCTTCTAGTAATGCTGCTGTACAGGCGAATACTGCCATAAATATGTATACGTGTACCCGTCACTTGAGCATGGGCAAACATCAGCAAGGCCGCATCTGGCTAAACCTAGCTATTTCGGTCTATTCGGTCTCCCAGGAGACACGAATAGATCATTTGACAGGATCTATTCATCATGGACCTGCCTTTAGCTAGACATGTTCGGATTCTGGTAGACGCAGGATAGAGGGCGGTAGAGCACGATAGACCGCGAGGTTTTTGTCGTGGATCATGCCATGGAGCTCGATGGGTTTCACTCGGACTGCTCAGTTTGGGTGGCAAAATGTATTTTATTGCAGAATATACATAATAACTACACGAGCAGACTGGCTGTACAATAATGTATAGACTAGCGAACTAGCACAAACCTCTCGAAGGTACTACATGTGTAGCGAGGAACCTTTGTCTCTGAATCTATGAATGTCGACCTATGAAATGATCTGAATGGAACAGTGCACAGAAATCAGCCACGTACATAAACATTCCGGGAATCAGAGACGAGACTCACAAAAAGCAGGTGACAAGTGCCGAGCAGGCAACCTGTCTATCTGAAACGCAAACAAGGATGTCAGTGTGGGAAGTGGAAATGATGCGACTGATGCGGGGAAGCCTCTCACCCTGCGCGACTTAACGCCGTAACGGGCCCCTCAATGACCGCTGGGAAGTTGGCGAGGTCACAGAGCGGGTAAGAGCAGGGGATAAGGCTGAAAATAGATATGG